GGCTGGGGAGAGGGAAGTCTGGGCCTCCCTACTTAGGCTGCTACCCCTGCGACCCGACCCCGGATAAGCGGAAGAAAATGGATGGATGGATGGATCATAATTTAATGTATTTGATTCAATGTGTCTACTTTTAATGTTCATTTTAGATGTGTGGTTTTGTTTCTTGTTCACATATATACATTTTATTTTTAGCTTTGCTTTAAAGTTCTTGTCTTGTGATTTGTACATTTGTGGGTTAAAATAAAGTTGAACTAAATGCCGTCTCTCTTCTTTAAACTTGAGAGAAATATTCTTGAGAGATCCAATAATTTTGTCTTTTTATGATTTTCAGCGGAAGCACGGTGGCGCAACTGGTAGAGCTGCTACCTCTCAGAGAGTAGGTCCTTGGTTCAAACCCCTGTCCAGGGGCCTTCTGGGTGGAGTTTGCATGTTCTCTCCCATGCATGCGTGGGTTTTCTCCGGGTGCTCCGGTTTCCTCCCACAGACCAAAAACATGCATGTTAGGCTGATTGGTAACTCTAAACTGTCCCTAGGTGTGAGTGAGAGTGTGAATGGTTGTTTGTCTCGTTTGTCTCTATGTGGCCCTGTGATGGACTTGCGGCCCGTCCAGGATATACCCCGCCCCTCGCACAGTGATTGCTGGACATGGGAACCAGCGACCCCCGTGACCCAAAGTGGAATAAGCGGGTAAAGATAATGGATGGATGATTTTCAGCTGAGTTAACAGTCATTAAAGTGAAAACAGGATTTCATGATAAAGCCGGCACCATTTATTTTTTTATTTTTTTTTATCTTCAACGCTAAAATATATGGCTCAATAAGACTAACTTGGATAAATATAGGCTAAATGAAATAAATGAAAAAAAAAAATTATATATATATATATATATATATATATATATATATATATATATATATGTATATGTATATGTATGTATGTATGTATATATATATATTTATTTTATGACCAGCTCTGCTGGTCTCACACGATCCTCTCCTCTGGAGCCAGGACGGGCAGGTGTCATCTTCCCAGCTCCGAGCTGAGCTGGTAACTCGCAGAAGGCCGTTGCCAGACCCCAGCCTCGCATAATCATGAAGGCCCAACCCGCGCAGGCAGAGAAGGGTCTGCGACGAATAGTGGAAGCGATTTTTAAAAACATTTTACGTGTAAAAAAAAAACAACCTTTTTTAAAATCGCTTCAGCAATTTTTTAAAAACATTTTTTGCATAAAAACAAAATATTAGTTTATTTAAAAATCACTTCCACCGTCTCAGACTGTCCAGTCCGCCTGACTGCCGGGCGGGATCGGGACTCGGCCTTCATGATTTCGTGCGGCCGGGGTCTGGCAACGCCCTTCTGCGAGTCACCAGCTCCAGCTTCGCAGTGACCAGCGGAGCTCTGAGCACGCAAGGCTGGGATCCGGAACCCGAGCCTCCGAGTCGGCACAACTAAGGATCTTCTGCGGTGACCAGCGGAACTCGGAGCCGGGGAGCTGATGCCCTGCCCGGCCTGGCGCTCCGTGGCTCCGGGGGGAGGACCGGGGTAGACCAGCAGAGCTCCATCCAGCTTGCTCTGAATTAAGTTGTCAGCCACCAAGCACAAAAAACGCCAGCACGTCAGCATTAGACCAAGATGTTGTCATTATTGTTTTTAAAATCTTTAAAATAAGTCCAGCCGCTGCTCCAGACCGAGAAATTGCAAATGGCGGTTCATTGTTTTGAAAAGTTTCTGAAGGATCCAGTGACTCCGCCCCCGACCAATCAGTGACCGACAGTGTTCTGACGTCACATTTAAGTACCTCTTTGTTAGGGTTAGAACCACAGAGCCAAGGGTCCTGAAAATAGTAACAGGTTCTAAATACCGGTACTAATGGAAAAGGGGCATTAGTAAGTATGTAAGTAAGTAATAATAATAATAATAATCATTTTATTTAAAAAGCGCCTTTCATGACACCCAAGGACACTTTAAAGTAAGAACAAAGATCAACAGGAATAAATTACATAAAGAATATAAAATACATACAGAATATAAAATGCATAAAGAATATAAAATACATACAGCAAAGTTAAGGATAAGCGAGTCTAAAGAGATGTGTTTTCAAGTAGGTAAGTAAGTAAGTATGTAAGTCAGTAAGTAAGGATAGATGGATGGATGGGTGGATGGATGGATATATGGATGGATGGATGGATGGATGGATGGATGGATGGATGGATGGATGGATGGATGGATGGATGGGTGGATGGAACGATGGATGGAGATCTATAAGGCTGCATGGCAAACATTAACCTTTAATTCATACAAAACTCTGATTTAAAGAGTTACCAGCTGGCACTTTCTGATCTGTTCTTCAACAGAACAGTTTAAAAGAAAACACCAGACTGATAAAAGCAGAGCAAAGCAGTCCACTTACAGAGTATTGATCTACTCTAAAGTGGACTTGATTGATCCAACCAGATCTTCAGTCTAACATAAGTGAGCTGACCAAACACACATCATCAAACATCACAGCAGGAAAGAGAGCTTTATAAAAAGACTGTCAAGAAAAACTAGACTGAGTAGAATATAAATACAGGTTTATGCTACGTTCTTGTAATCGTTGCTGTTCAAACAAAATGGTGACATGAGAAACTTTGAAGTGTTAGTTTTCACATAAACTTTGAATTATTGAACTTTAACTTCTTGGAATCATTTGCCAAGCAATAAATATAAAACTGGAAATAACTTACAGTGTTCAGATTGGGAACATTGAGGAAAAATTCAGGGTATGAATAGGATATGCCAACGTTGTTTACTATAAACAAAAGAAAAAAGCAATAATATGACATAAAGAATATGACAAAACACTGACACGACTAGATATTTATTAAATATAGTTAAAAGTGTAATTCATGTCTTAATCTTTGGAGGGCAGCAAAGTACTTATAAATTAATCTGTTTACATGGAAAGATTTCAGTTAAAACTGTGAAATAAAGAGGAAGCCACACTGAATGTGAAGATATTAATAAATAATAACATTTTATTATAGTTAGGTGACCTCTGCAGCTGCTGGTCTCACCTAAAACTCCAATCTCCAGTCCCGCAAGTCCTTCTTCAATCTTTGAATAAATGTCCAGAGCACTGAAGTCTGCTGCAATAGTTTTAGTCTCCACACCACACTTGCTGGCTGAAGATATAAAATATGCATTTAAATTAATAAAAAACATTTAAAATTAATTTCTTCATTAGTCAGTTAGGAACTGTAACTTGGGATATGCTACTTAAAAAGGAAAGTGAGATGGTAAAAAAGACTGATCACTAAAATAACCATCTGAGGACATTCCTTTTTGTAAAAAGAGGATGTTATGCCTTCTTCTTCTTCTTCTTATGCTGCTGCTTCTTTCTGCTTTTCCCTCTTCAGGGGTCTCCACAGTGAGTCATGCTCTCCATCTCACTATGTCCTCTGCATCCTCTGTCCTCACTCCAACTACCTCCATGTCCTCTCTAACTGCATCCATATATCTCCTCTTTGTAACAAAGACCATGCTCAATAATCCAGGTATGAAATCCAACAATGTTCAGTCAGGTCATCTGGATGGTTTATTTTTTTGTGCCGAGACATTTCTCCCTCTATCCAGAAGGCTTCATCAGTCTGAGGAAACACCAAACAAAACTGCTTCTCCCCCAACAGCTTACTCCAAAGTGGAAAAAAAACAGTTCTGTCCATGCTAAGATGGTCTCTGGGGCACGCCCTCTCCCTCGTCAACAGTTATGTCAAACTGGCTCAAAACACCAAAGTCCATGCTAAAAAAGAAACCATCCAGATGACCTGACTGAACATTTTTGGATATCCTCTTTGTCTTTTTCCTGGTAGCTGCATTTCTAACATCCTTCTACCAGTATACCCACTGTCCCTCCTCTGGACATGTCTAAACCATCTCAGTCTGGCCTCTCTAACTTTACCTCCCAGTTGTTCAATCTGTGCTGTACCTCTGATGATCTCATTTGTCACTCCTAAAAAGAACCTCAACATCTTCATTTCTGCCACTTCCAGTTCTTTCTCCTGTCTTTTTGTCCATTTCTCTGTCTCCAGACCATACAACATAGCTGATCTCATCACTGTCTTGTAAACTTTTCTTTTGTCCTTTGCTGACACCCTTTTGTCAAAAATCACTCCTGAAACTTTTCTCCATTCACTCCATCCTGCCTGGACTCTCTTCGTCACCTCTTTATCACACTCCACATATTCCTGGACAGTGGACCCCAAGTACTTGAGGTCCTGCACCTTTGTGACCTCTGCTCCTTGTAGCCTCAATGTTCCACCGGCCTCCCTCTCATTCACACATGTACTCTGTCTTACTACGACTGACTTTCATTCCTCTCCTTTCAAGTGCATACCTCCACCTCTCCAAGTTTTCTTCCACCTGTTCTATTCACACCACACACAAAGTCATCTGCAAACATTATGGTCCATGGGGATTCCTGCCTGACCTCATCTGTTAGTCGGTCCATCACCAGAGCAAACAAGAAGGGGCTCAGAGCCGATCCTTGATGCACTCCCACCTCCACCTTGAAGCTATCTGTTACTCCTACAGCACATCTCACCACTGTCCTGCTGTCCTCATACATGTCTTGTACCAGTCTAACATACGTCTCTGCCACTCCAGATTTCCTCATGAAATAAAACATAAAATATTAAAATAAGAGTTTTTTATATAATTTAATGAAATCACCAAATTAACTATTTTCAAAAGACTGCTACATTTACAAAGAACTAAATAAATGATCACATTCTCAAAGCATACAATCATGTGCTATATCATTTCATCACTTGTCAGTCGTGCTGTTTGATTGATAAATGCTTCACGCTCAGGATAAATGAGGTTATACAGCTGCATCGGGGTGACCTCTCTAAATCACAGGGGCTTATGATTAATATAAAACCAATAGTCATTTGTCTTTGTACCAAATGTATTATTGATTTCCTTGTCTTAAAATGTGGACTAATGTGATTAACCATATTTTACAGTGATGAGTCATGTTTTAACAACAATAATAATATAATTATTAACATGTAAGAGTGTACATTTCTCACCGATTGCCTTGGAAACATCATCAAGCTTCTCCTGAGAACGACTAATCAGAACTATGGAAAAACCTCTGCGAGCAAGCTGTAAACAGACAACAAAGGGCAGCCTTTAAAACATTTTTCCTTCAAAAACCTTTCTCTTTAGCAAGAATCACACTTAGAAATGAGAAGAGAAGTGATATTTTCCTCCCACAATAGTTTTGTTACTCTAGCCTGGCAAACTTCTCTGAAGGGTTTCCATTGAACTTTCAGCTGAAACCTTGATGCAACATTAACTATCTTTCAATTACAACTGAGCCTGTGGAGGGCAAAAATAAAAACATTTAATAAGCAAAAAAATAAATATTCTAATAATATTCTATGAAATGAAGTTTCTGTTCACTTTACAAAGTCAAAAGATGAAGCTTATAAATCACACATTTAAAATGTAAAATTGTGAAGCATCACTCTTAGGAACCAAAACAGTTAGATGTATTACCTCCTCTGCGTATGCTTTCCCGATGCCGTCTGTGGCTCCTGTCACAACTACAAGGAAAACGACAAACAAAAACAAATTAAATAACCAGAAAAAATACACTACTTTAAAAACTAAATTAAAACAAAATTTACAGTTTGAACATTGTGTTTGTGTATGTTGAGACTTGAGAGATGTACAGGCCCTAATCAAAAAATTAGCATATTGTGATAAAGGTCATTATTTTCCATAATGTAATGATAAAAATGAAACTTTCATATATTTCAGATTCATTGCACACCAACTGAAATATTTCAGGTATTTAATTGTTTTAATACTGATGATTATGGCATACAGCTCATGAAAACCCAAAATGCCTGTCCCAAAAAATTAGCATATCATGAAAAGGTTCTCTAAACAAGCTATTAACCTAACCATCTGAATCAACAACGTAACTCTAAACACCTGCAAAAGATTCCTGAGGCTTTTAAAAACTCCCAGCCTTGTTCATTACTCAAAACCGCAATCATGGGTAAGACTGCCGACCTGACTGCTGTCCAGAAGGCCATCATTGACACCCTCAAGCAAGAGGGTAAGACACAGAAAGAAATTGCTGAACGAATAGGCTGTTCCCAGAGTGCTGTATCAAGGCACCTCAGTGGGAAGTCTGTGGGAAGGGAAAAGTGTGGCAGAAAACGCTGCACAACAAGAAGAGGTGACCGGACCCTGAGGAGGATTGTGGAGAAGGGCCGATTCCAGACCTTGGGGGACCTGCGGAAGCAGTGGACTGAGTCTGGAGTAGAAACATCCAGAGCCACCGTGCACAGGCGTGTGCAGGAAATGGTCCGCAGGTGCCGCATTCCCCAGGTCAAGCCACTCTTGAAAAAGAAACAGCGGCAGAAGCGCCTGACCTCGGCTACAGAGAAGCAGCACTGGACTGTTGCTCAGTGGTCCAAAGTACTTTTTTCGGATGAAAGCAAAATTTGCACGTCATTTGGAAATCAAGGTGCCAGAGTCTGGAGGAAGACTGGGGAGAAGGAAATGCCAAAATGCCAGAAGTCCAGTGTGAAGCACCCACAGTCAGTGATGGTCTGGGGTGCCATGTCAGCTGCTGGTGTTGGTCCACTGTGTTTTTATCAAGGGCAGGGTCAATGCAGCTAGCTATCAGGAGATTTTGGAGCACTTCATGCTTCTATCTGCTGAAAAGCTTTATGGAGATGAAGATTTCATTTTTCAGCACGACCTGGCACCTGCTCACAGTGCCAAAACCACTGGTAAATGGTTTACTGACCATGGTATTACTGTGCTCAATTGGCTTGCCAACTCTCCTGACCTGAACCCCATAGAGAACCTGTGGGATATTGTTAAGAGAAAGTTGAGAGACGCAAGACCCAACACTCTGGATGAGCTTAAGGCCGCTATCGAAGCATCCTGGGCCTCCATAACACCTCAGCAGTGCCACAGGCTGATTGCCTCCATGCCACGCTGCATTGAAGCAGTCATTCATGCAAAAGGATTCCCGACCAAGTATTGAGTGCATAACTGAACATGATTATTTGAAGGTTGGTGTTTTTGTATTAAAAACACTTGTCTTTCATTGGTGGGATGAAATATGCTAATTTTTTGGGACAGGCATTTTGGGTTTTCATGAGCTGTATGCCATAATCATCAGTATTAAAACAATTAAAGACCTGAAATATTTCAGTTGGTGTGCAATGAATCTGAAATATATGAAAGTTTCATTTTTATCATTACATTATGGAAAATGATGACTTTTATCACAATATGCTAATTTTTTGAGAAGGACCTGTAGAGATAAAAACTGATGTAGACAGAGACAGACAGACACAGACAGAGGCAGACAGAGAGACAGACAGAAACACACAGAGACAAACAGAGAGACGGACAGAGAGACAGACAGAGACAGACATTGACAGACAGAGCCAAACAGACAGAGAGAGAGACAGAGACAGACAGACAGTCAGTCCCCCACCTCTCACACAGTGACTGCTGGATTTGGAAACCAGTGACCCCCGTGATCCAAAATTGAAGAAGTGGGTAAAGATGATGGATGTGCATTGTTCTTTCTAAGCAAACTAATCTATGTTGAGACACTTTAACACGGACCATATTGCTATATATAATTTTAGCATCTTCACATTAAACTTGAGCTAATTTGAATGAGCAGGGTTTTTTTTTTTGACTGAGTAAAATAAAAATAAAATACAAGAAAAGTTTTGTCATTTGACACCCGTCTCCCAATACTCGTGATTACGTTTTTCTTTTTATCCCCTCTCGTGTGACATCAAGCGGAGGATAAACGCCCAGGGAAACTGCAATAACTGCAGAAACATGGAAGCTGAGCTCACCAGCACTGATAAATAGATGAATGCTGCCACCTACTGAAACTTCTGTCTCAACAAGAGTATGCAAAAACAATAATGATAGCCCATCACAAGAAAGCTTTCAAAGAATGGAAAAAAAAAAAAAAGATCATTCAAGGCTGAAGAGCCGAGTGTGAGCACAAACAAATGCACTGCAAAGGGGATTGGGTGTGGGGGTGTTGAGAACTTGATGTGACAAGGGAAGGTTTAAAGAAAAAAGGTATTTACTGTCATCGGCAGAGCGAGCAGGCACTCTGGAAATGCCTGGCACAAACAGCAGCAGACTATTTTTAGCAACTGCTGTCTTTCAGAGAGAACTATTCATCACATCTCAGGCTAAATATAACAAAAAGTGAATTAAGTCTGTCCCCGTTTAACCTGCAAATCCTCACTCAGAGAAACACTTATCTTTGTGTACTCGTTTGTCAGAGTCAGAGTCTTTGTGTACTCGTTTGTTTTGGTCCTATTTTATATTTTATTTTATTTGACACGTTTCCTTCCAATCCTGACTCGGGTCTCTTTGATGGGGTAAAGTGCACTTAGGATGAAAATATTGGTTTAATAGACCAGACCATCATTATGTTTGGGTGCACCAGAGAGCAGCCTACAGGCTTTAATATACTTAAGATCATTAAATCCTTCATGCAGAGATATGACCAAATAATGAAACCTAAGTATCTTCAGGTAGGGTTAGTGTGAAGTTGGCATGTTGGGTGTTTGCATCTAAACAGTCTGCTTGGTTTGTGTTTAATGACAGTAAAACGCAGTAAGTGCTATGTGTTGCTGTACGTTTCATGTGTCTGGTAGCAAAAAATCTCATGAATCACTGGATGGATTTCAATGAAACTCTCAGGAATCAATAGATATGCATCTATATCTGATCATTTTTTTTGGAGTCACCCCAACCCAACATGACCACTTCAAATAATCAACGTTAGCAAACAAAAAATTAGCTATAACTAGGGGTGCACCGATTGCAGTTTTCTGGACGATCACTGATCACCAATCTCTAAAAAGTGTGACCTGCCGATTACGATTTTGGAGGATACTGGTTTTGTTTTTTAAGCAACAACGTCAGGTGTTATAAGGTCACAATGCACTTTCAATTTTCCAATCTTATTTTATTATAAAACATACCCTTGAACAATATCCTAGAAACAATACAAACTGGTTTTAACTGGCCATGAGGTAGTGCTCTGAAATATAAAGGAAGTTCAGACAATTGTTGTTAAAACTAGAGAAGAAAAAAAAATAGGTAAAATCAGTTTCTCAAGCAAGCATTGGCCGCCGATCTCCTAAAATTAAGGAAATTGGAGCCAATAAATCCAGTGAACCTCCATCTATAACTCAATCAGTTTTGCACTATCAAGTTAATCGTGGCGTGCTAGAAGTTGACGGTTATCCTTAAAAGTAAAAGCCTCTCGTTCATAGTTTTACCCAAGATTCTGCATAACCTCGTTTTCAAGGTCTGACCAAAAGGACTAGAACTCTATTCAATATCAGAAGATGATTTTAGTCTGATAGGTTTTTAACACATATACATAAACAGCAGTCCCTCGCTACTTCGCCTTCCGCGGACACGCACTTGCGCAGTTTTGCAAAGTGAGATTGGACATGACGCACAATTGGCTGATTGATAGATGAGCCGCAAGATCGGCATGGATATTATTTTTTATATATTATTTTAAATTATTTAGCACCAGCTGCGCCTGTGTGGAGCAGAGACCTGCAGCATGTCATGGTCTCTGCTCTGCAGTGGAGAAGTGGGCGTGGCCGAGAGCGCTGGGAGGTGGCAGAGAGCAGAGATCAAATCTTTATTACATGTCAAATTATACACTTACAGAATTATAGAGCATCTATAAAAATTGGGTCTGACCTGGATTTCTTGAATTGTATGTCACTATCCAGTCTGGCACAACTTCCACAACACCAGCGTTCTTTGTCTTGTTTTAAATGTGACTCTCTGTGAATGTGAAATCTTATTTAGCTGCAACAACATGGTTTATAATCCTGCACAACTTATATCTCATAAAAACGTGTTTGCGCCATTTCTGCAAAGCTTATACTCTTCAGAGGTAATGAAGATTTATTTTCAGCAAACGTTTAGATTTTTGCACAATACTATTTATTTCCACTTCAACTTGTTTTTGTATCCAGCCTTTTCCTGTGCCCATCTTGGTTTTGTGTGATTTTCTTGAGTGTGGATGATGGAGATGCCAAGCATCCTCTAGGGCTGAAGGAGAGCCAAACAGAAGGGAGCGGAGGAGGAAAAGAGGAACCAAAGTGACAAACACGAACATGGGGGATCCTGGGGGCAACTAAAAATAGTACAGAGAGAAAGGAGGGTGGGGGGGTACGAGAGAGTCTGCAGGCAAAATGATGAGAGAAACATGGGATGGGTTATTTTTAGTTGTTTAAGAATGAACAATTTTGCACTTAGAGCAGGGAAAAATACAGCTGAGTGCATGTTGCCTTCCCTCAAATAAAACCAGATCTATTTTGGGAGCTGCTGTTGTCTCCTGAAAACTAGGTCAGACTGCCTAAGTGTCCTGATCATAGTGTTCCTATGTGCATTTCAAATCCCATTATCAACGTCTCGGTGCCCAGGCCTTCATCGGCGTCACAAAAACTTGATTAGAAGGTAAAAAGAACGACTGCAGGTAGTTTGAAGTAACCACCAGGTAGCA